GCTGGGTAAATAAATAAAAATGAATGAATGAATGAATGAACAAATAAGGTACATTTGAATAATGCTCTGATCATGAACATACTCATATGATTTATGAAGGAACAATGAAAAATGTTTTTTCTACCTTAGCCCTTGCTAAACTGTGCTTAGGCAATATAGTCATTTTCCTAGATGTGCTTCTAAGTTAAAATACCCTTCTGTTTGAACCAGTATTAAGTCTGGGAATATAAAATAGAGTAAAAAGGGGGGGAAAATCCTTTAAGGGACACATGACAACACAACGTTCTTGTCAGCTGACCTTCTCATTGGATAGATGACGAAAATGGGAAATTAAACCTATAATATTAGAAAACTGTAAGAATTGTACACTCACATGGAACCTTAGATGAATATGCATTTGAGGAGTACGGGACAGAAACTAATAATGATTGGGAAGAAAATAAAAGGTTGGGAAAAGCAGAATCTTTCATTCAGCTTGGCATAGAAAAAGAAAACTGAGTCCAAACTCATCAGGCCCTTGGGATTACCCTCCTGCTTGGGATGTGGGAGGGAGCCACAGTGTGGATGAGGGCCAGTGGCACCAGGTGAATATATACAGCCAGGTCTGTTTGGCTTTAGAGTGCTGTTAACCTGGAGTGAGTTAATATTTCCTAGCACAGTGATTTGGGATATTTGAAAATTTGTTCCCGAAAGCAAGAAAAAGTTCAAGGAGAGGAGTTAATGTTTCTCAAAAAAGGAACAAACACATAAATGTCTGTGCACCTAAGGGAAACCATCCTACCAGGCTTATTGGCCATCCTGAATACCCAGCAACCATTCCCATTTTTATGTTAGCCCTCGACCTTACTCTGGAGAAATAAACCTTTCTCCACTAAATGCACTGTGCTGGGGCTGTGTATCTCATGTCCCCAGCATGTAGTAGTAGACATCACTACATATATTGGTCGAATGAATGAATGAATGAATGAATGAATGCATTCAACCCTCCTTTGGCTAGGCCAATGAGACAACTTTCTCCCTGAGATTTGGATCTTAAGTAAAATGTAGATTCTAAAAAATGCCAAAACCAGATTCATTCTGCAGAGACATCTACTGAAAGACTACCTTCGTTTTTGTTTCCTATATCCCAGGACTCCTCTGTCATGGCTTCTACCCTTTCCAAGCCAGGTGCCTAAACTTTCTCTTTTATTCTAAGAACTATCATATATCCTTCCAATAAAATCTCCCTGTGCTTAAGTTATCCAAAGTTCATTTCTGCTGCTTATGAACAAAGAACCATGACAGACACACATTTCCCAGCTTGCCCCTACGGAATACACCAATTATTATCCCCAAATATGGGATTGGTAATAAGATGGTTAGTGGAAGTTCGTGGATTGTTTTTCTACTTTTGTTTCCATGTGTCTCTGGTTGATCTTACCAAATACACTCAAGGGCAAGAACTTGAGGAGTTGAAATAAGAAGTGTCAGTTCTTTGCATTCCCCTTCAAAAACCCTTTTAGATAGAACCCTCTGTCTAAAAGCATCTATTGTTCAATAGGTGTTAGAGTTACATGTATTTATGTTAAGAAATTATTTCTACCTTAATTTCAAAATTATTTCTACCTTAATTTCTACCTTAATTTCAATTTCTACCTTATTTGCAATTTACCAATTTCAAAAGCCCCACCTCAGCTACTACAAATTTCCCCTGATTTTTATGTCCAATCAGGAATAGCTTGAAGCAGGAACAGGGTCCCACTTCTACAGTTTCAACTAGCTATGTAAAGAACAGATCTAAACAAGTCCTCGCACCATCCCTTTTTCAAAATACAGTTTAAACATCAGTTTTTATTTAGCAGCCTAGTTACTTTTTATAGAAAAGCCTGTAGAAAATGATTGTTGCTACCATGTTTTCAACTAGTTATTTTTAAAGTAGTTTAAAAATATCCATTGATACTTTTTATTGTTTCTGCCATGATTTTAGCACCTACTACAGTTCTGAATGCCTAACAAATGTTTAAGAAATGGTAGTTAAATTCATGAACAAAGAAATGTTTTATTATTATTGTGGGGTAATTTTGGTTGAATCATCACTAAGAGTTGGTTAAAGAGAATCTACTGCATAGCCATTTAAAATAGAAGTTAGAGAACAAAGGTGTCACAGCAAATTGCTATTGTTGTTGCTTCCACAAACTTTCCACAAAATTTTGAGAGTCCTAAAATGGTTCCTTGTATTAAATGAAAGCCTCAACTGCTGCCAGTGGTGACCCTGTGATGGGATTTATATTCCAAAGCCCCCCTCTCTAAGGACCCCATCCCTGCCCTCAGCATCAAGCTGTAAGGTTATACTTTATCTGAAACTACATCCTTTCTTGGCTCCTTCTCCCCCACTACCCTATTTCTCTTGTTACCTTATAGGTTTTTCTTGAAGGGCAGCTGATTCTTTATCTCGGGCTCTGCTTCTAGTGAACTCCACCTAAGACAGGAATATGCTACTAATTTGAATAGTTATGGCATTCATAAAACAATATGTATGAATTTTGTTGTCAATGAATTTGAAATTTTACCAAATATGTTGATGACTGCAAAGGATATATCATCATTGCAAAGAATCAACACAGATAAAGGGCAGATACTGAGGGTCTTGTATGTAGGTGTTATCTACCTTGAATTCTTTTCAAAATCCCCTTAAGTAGGCATTAGCACTCATATTTTCAAAATGAAAAAAAAAATTTATAGTCAGCACATTAAATAACCTCTTCAAATTCAGATAATCAGCATGTGACAAATTTGAGTATCTTCTGAAAGATCTCACAGGTTGATTATAAATGTTCCAAAATACTGCGAAAGAAAATGGCAATGTCCTTCTAACTTCCTGTTCTTCAATACTTGGATAAAGCATAAATGGTCACTTCAGAAATGACTGATTTGTTTTAAGCCTGAGCCATGAGATTTAAAGTAGATTTATTTTTTAAAAGTTTTTGTCTCAGGCACATTAACTGCTTCATTAATTACCAAAAACTAACCAACCCCCTCACAGCCAAAAAGAAGGAGCAATGTTGTTAAAATTGTATTTTAGTTTTAGAAGAAATTGAAAATCAGAGTAGGTAAAGCGCATGTAACGCACTCTCAAACAGAAATGCCAAGTGCCTTTCTTAGGGAACTGGACAGAGCAATTATATGCAGCTTCACGGGCTGTCAGCTGTGTCCTCTGTCATCACCAAGGTTATCTCAACCTTTTCTGAGCCTATTTTTATGTTCTGGCTGGCCTACCTCCTCGGATAATCGTCTCCTAAGTTCAATTCCTGTCAAGAAATGCAGTGCTACACTACTGCAACCCTAATAAAGCCAAGATGCACATGCTCCAGTCCCCAAACAGGCCATATTTTAACAAGGACAGTCTAGGGGGGGAAATATAAAAGGAATACATGTGCAAAGTGAAATAAGCCAAGCACAAAAGGACAAATATTTTATGATTCCACTCACATGAGGTACCTAGAAAAATCAAATTCATAGAAACAGAAAGTAGAATAATGGTTACCAGGAGGAAGAGGAGGAATGGAGGAGTATTGTTTAATGGGTAGAGTTTCAGCTTGGGAAGATGAAAAGTTCTGGAAATGGGTATGGACAGTTGTAATGGTTGCACATCAATGTGAATGCACTTAATACCACTGGCACATATACTTTAAGAAGGCTAAAATTGTAAATTTTGTTATGCATATTTTACCATAATAATTTTAAAAAGAAATTCAATGCTTTTCTTGCATCTCTTAAAGGATGCTAACGAGACTCTTATCTATAACATTCTCCCACCCTTGTCATGTGTTCTTTTCAATCCCCTCCCCAGTTTTCTCAAAACCCGTACTCACCAACATCATCCTCTGTCAAACCCACTTAAACTTCTTAACACTCTACCCCAGCCACTACCTTGTATCTTCCTCCTCTCCTGCCTTTCCTCACGAGTCCACATCATTTAGGCACACAAGAGATAGAACCTTTGTCTAGAAGCAGGAAAGGGAAAAAACAATACCAGGCAAGGTCCTCTGTAGCATCAGGGGAAGATAAAAGGCTGGAAGTAGTCATCATGCTGATTTCAGTTTTCTCACACTCATTTTGTTCTATACTTAATCTTTCTCTAGCTGCAAGTGCTTCTAACCATCTGAGATTTGGTGAAGAAATTCTGCATTCGCCTTATCTATCCACTGATGTTCATGATTTCACAGTCTTCATTCAGATCACATCTCAGCCCCTTGTTTATCATGTGTTCATACACTGGGTAGAGGTTTTAGAGCAGTGGTTCGTGACTTGTGCTGTACATTAGAATCCCCTGGGGAGATTTACAAAGTCCAGGCCATAATCCATGGCAACTAAATAAGTGGGACCCAGAGGCAAGGACCCAGCTAACTGTATTATTTTAAACCCTTGGCCAGGTGTCGTGGCTCATGCTTGTAATCCTGGCATTTTGGGAGGCAGAGGTGGGGGATCACTTGAGGATCACTTGAGGCCAGGAGTTTGAGACTAGCCTGGGCAACATATTGAGACCCACCCCTGTTTCTACAAAAATTAAAAAAAAATTATGTAGATATGGAAATGTGCACCTAGTGTCCTAACTACTGGAGCTTAGGAGTTTGAAGTTATAGTGAGCTATGATCATGCCACTGCACTCCAGTCTGGTTGACAGCAAGACCTTGTTTCTAAAAAAAAAAAAAATAATTAAAAAAATAAAAATTTTTCCCTTTAAAAGAAATTTTAAAAAATGAATAAACTCACAATCGATGTGCAGCTAAGTTTGACAGTCAGTGTTTTAGGGAAGTGCATCCCAAATATTAATATGCACGTCAATTACATGGAGTAAAAGATCTGATGCTGATTCAGGAGGTCTGGAGGGAACCCCAAGATGCTGTATTTCCAGTGAGTATCAAGATAACATTTAATTGGCTGTTCCCAGACCCCACTATGAATAGTGAGGCTTTAGGGAAAAAGAGCCATTCAAGTTTCCTTTTTTAATGGGGCTTTTATTACAATGATACACAGCCAGTGATGGTAAAGTCACAACTGGGTCTCCCAGCAGAACAATCCTGGAAGATGGCTTGAGACACAGCTGTCGTGGCCTAGGGACTCTAGCTGCACCTCAGTTGCAGCTGTTCCTTGTGCTGATTCAGCTGTTCTGCCTCTGCTTCTAGACTGCTCTACAAGGGAGTCCCAATTCAGCTGCTTCCAACTTCAGGGTCTTTAACAAGTTACTCAATTCCCTAACCCTGAGTGTCCTCATATGTAAAATGGGGATAGCAATATTAACTATTTCAGTGGACTATTGTGAAGATTAAACGAGATACTCACATACAGCACTGGTATGAGGCCTGGTACTAAACAGAACTGTCTTCATTTCTGCCCCTGCTGCCAACAAAGAATCAACTTCCTAATACTCTCTCTACCTCAAGCGTCTGCTTATGGATTCAGGTCTGTGTACCTTTTACCTCTGTCCAACTGCTGGCTCTCTTCACAAGTTCAAGTTTGCATTTCTCAGAAGTGGATTTAGTTGATTTAGTCCATCACCATCCACTACAAGCTATCCCAGTAGGACTCTGCATTTGCACAAAGCCACCTCTGTGGTAGACCAGGGTGAACTTACTGATTGGCTTCCTTTGGGTAGTATTTGACTGTTGTGGTTCCTAGACGTCTGAAATCAAGGTATTGGCAGGGCCATGCTTTCTCCAAAGGCTCCAGGGAAGAAATCCATTTTTGTCCCTTCTAGGTTCTGGTGGTTGCTGGCAATCCTTGGCATTCCTGGGTCTGTAGCATCATAATTCCAACCTCTGCCTCTATCTTCACATGGCCTTCTTTCCTCTTTTCTTGTATCCCTGTGTGTAAATCTCCATTCCTTTCTCTCACAAAGACGCCAGTCACTAGATTAGGAACAACTCTAATTTAGTATGAATACATTTTAACTTGATTACATCTGCAAAGACCCTATTTCCAAATAAAGTCACCTTCATAGATGTCAAGGATAAGGAATTCAACATATTTGGAGGGGGGCACATTCAACCCATAACACCTATGTTCCTGCCAGTGTTCTGGGCCTGGGTCTCCATCCATCCCAGTGATCTTGTGGTCCACCCAGTATTTTTCTTATACAGTTGACCCTTGATCAACATGACTTTGAACTACACAGGTCTGGTTATGTGCAGATTTTTTTCAATAAAAGTTACACTAATCGTGCCTGCCTCTCCTGCCTCCCCTTCTACCTCCTCTGCCTTTTCCGCTTCTTCCACCCCTGAGACAGCAAGACCAACCCCTCCTCTTCAGCCTACTCAACCTGAAGAAGAGGATAAAGATCTTTATGATGATCTACTTCCACTTAATAAATAGTAAAATATACTTTTTCTTCCTTATTATTTTCTCTAGCTTACTTTATTGTATGAGTACCATATATAACACATATAACATACAAAACATGTGTTAATCAACCATTTATGTTACTGGTAAGGTTCCTGGTCAACAATAGGCTATTAGCAGTTATGTTTTTGAAGAGTCAAAAGTTACATGTGGATTTTCAACTGCATGAAGGTCAGCATCCCTAACTCCTATGCAGTTCAAGGGTCAATTGTATACTCTTTTTCTGCTTAAGTCAGCAGAATTAGTTTTTCTGCTTGCAACTATAGACCCTGACCTGTCTTCTCACTAACTCAATTTCCTTTACGTCCCATCTGAGAGTCTTCATCCAGAGCTCACTAAGGATGAGCAGAACAGTGAATTTCTGATGCAAAGACCCATTTGCTTTAAAAACAAGGCAAAGATTCTCATCCCACTCCCTGGATCAAGCAGACTGAGGAAGTGGTGGGCTAGGCCCATGTTAAAGGATTCACACTGACCAATCCCAAACCTCATTATTGAAATGCCTGCAAAACCTTTTGATTTCCTAAATTATGAGTTTGTTCTCAAGCTGCATCTTACTCTGGAGCACAATTTGACTAATTTTTGCCTTTGGCCAATGGATGGTGTGAGGCCTGTTTCAGTGGAAAGGACCACACTGCTTGCATCAGATCTCAGAGATGTTGCCCCAGTCTATATAATTTTCATCAAGTCATGACAGCAGCACCAAAGGGGCTAACCAACATTTCAGTTGTGTTTGGTCTCAAGTTTCCAAAGCCTCATCAATGTTATTAGGAACAATAACATAATGCCAGAAAGAGTTGCAGAGGAAATGAAACATTATGGGGTTCTAAGAAATGTGGTAATAAAAGACAGCTGGATTTAAAAAGACAAATCTATGCCATTGACTTCAAGGAAATAAAAAACATTAACAATTTTTGATTAAATCATCTTCACAAATGGCCATTAGGAAAAGAGTGGCAATGTTACTTTTCGATTTGCCCTTGCTAGGCTTCTTTTTATGACCTGCCTCTTGCCAATTTCATGGAATTTTATGAGGGTTAGGGACCACATACGCCTGGAACTGCCTGCAGCCATCTTTGCCATCCTCTGCTGTTTGAGGATGAAGCCAACCCAGGAAGGAAGAATCCAAGAGATACATACAAAGTTATTATTTCATTTGAGTCCTTCAATCCAGCTATACCTAAAAAATCCATTAAACTTCCAAGTTATTTGAGCTAATAAATCTTTGTTTGTTTAAGCTAGTTTGAGTTAGAGTTCTATCCTTCCAAATGACAATGTGCTATTCAGTGTCCCTATCTACTTTGACCTGATTTCTATGGACTGCTGTTGGCAAGGGAATATTGTGTCAAATGGACCATGAATTTCAGTTGGGATGGTGGTTTCTAAATTCCTGTCATATAGCACATTATTGAAAATATGTGCACAAAACACATAAGCTAATGGAGAAGCACCTTCATAAAGCAATCTTTTGGCACATGCATATTACTGAATTATGATTATATTTAAATGCACAGCCAATATGAAAGTAAATCGAGTAACTAGAGTAGAAAAATATTTTATTACACCTGACTCAAGCCCTGTATGTCATTGCCTCATCACATCAAACCACCAACATGAGAATTTACCTTCCTAAGTTTCAGCATTGTCTTATATTTTAGCCAAGCTGTGCTGTTTCACCTTGATTCAGCATATTCACAGATGGCATGTGGGTCACATGGCTCTCAGCTAGACCAAGCACCTAGACCTCTCTTCCTCCTTCTCTCAATTCAGTTTTTCCAAAACCCATGGGACCAGCCTGAACTTCCTCATTCATGCCCATATTTATTCAACAAATAAGTATTGAGCACTCCCTATGTGCCAAGCCCAGATGTAGGCACTGGGAACTCAGTAATTACCAGAACAGAATAAGCCCCTTCCTTACAAAGTTTACATTCTGGTGAGAGAAGATAGATGATAAAAGAAGTTTAAAGTAGATATATGTCAGATGGTGATAAATGTTACAGAGAAAGATTAAATGAGGTAAAAAGGCTAGGAGTGCAGGGTGGGTGGCTATGTCATATATGGTGAAATTGTGAGCCTGGTAACTACCTGTGGGAAGAACATAGCACACCAAAACAGCATGTGCAAAGGCACTGAAGCAAGGACAGCTGGGAGGCCAGCGGAGTGGAGGCAATGAGGGGCAGTGTGGTTGAAGATGAGGTAAGAGAGGTGTTGGGGGAAAGGGTGATGGAGAAAGTTAACAGCATTCTCAAGCTACTGTAAGAACTTTGAGTTTTACTCTAAGTCAGATTTAAAAAAAAAAAAAACAAACACTGGAGGGCTGTGAACAAAAGAGCCACATAATCTGACTTGAAGTTTTAAAGATTGCTGTGTCTGTTGTGTTGAAAATATAACTGGGGCTGGGGTCTAGTGCACAAGCATAGGAGTTAGCCTTAGATGGACATATTGATAATTCATCCACCGTAACAGGAGGGAAGACAGAGTATAAAGGTAAAGACATGGATAGGTGGGTAGATGAGGCAATGAGATCTTATGTAAATCCTCTCTGGCTCCTTTATTTTCTCAGTAAAATAGGAAGCAGATTCATCAGCTGAGAGTGAGGATGAGGGAAAAAGGAAGGATTGAAGGGAGATGAGAAGATATGAAACAGCTGCCTAGGAAAGTGGGGGAAAAGCCTGGAACAAAGCACTGCAATAGGTCCCCTGGGCAGCATAAGGGTCTGCATGGGTCAGTGGTCATATTCCTACTGGGGGTTTTGAGCATTGTGGTGGAGGGGGTGATGTCCATAGGTGTTTGGGGTAAAGGGAGGAAGAGGACAGAAGTGAGCAGTAATTTAAAAGTGAGGTAAGTCATTAAGATTTAAGACACAGAAGCAAACACATATCTATAGTTCAAATATGGAAGTTGCATGAAATCTTAAAGACAAAATATTAGATACAATTTTAATGTACCCTTAGAAATGAAATCAGGGAATTTTAGAACTTAAGATGAAAATGACCTTAGTGATTTTCTTGTCTGAATTCACTTTATAACATTTGAAATACAAGCCCTGGGGTATTAAATATTTTGTCCAAGATCACAAACCTAGTTAAATGCAGACACAAGTCTAGACATTAGTTCTCAATGTTCATCCGCTAGTCCTTCCTTCCTCATGTACTGGCAGGGAACAAAGAAATTTCAGGCAGGTCCCTTTTCTCTCATTGCACGCCCAGGCCTTCCTTTCTCTTAACTGTTCCATCAGTTATCTTCTATAACAAAGTTCCCTTGTTATTTCTCAGAGTCACTCAGCTTCCTTCCAGTGCCTCAGCCAAGTGTGTACTTTACTGAAACTTCCAACCTAGTGTGTTAGGCTGGGTGGAGAGCATGTCTTGGCCAAGTGTGAGTTGGGCTTCACCCAGGAGGAAGAAAGGGAGATTGTCTCACCAAAATCCTAGAGATGATTTCTCTAGACTCACCATGGTGTTCAGGTGCCAGAGCTAAGGGCATGATATTCTCTTAGTCCTGCTTTTCTTCTGGCCAAAGAGGAGCTCGAGACTTTTCAAGTCAAAAGCCATATGTGCTCACTGGACCAACAAATGTCAAGCCTCTGCATTAAGAAGAAAATGAATCTGAACCAGTGAGCTTGAGGATTGCCTGCAGCCTGTGTCCCATCTGAATACCATTTGAACACAACTGGTTAAAGTTCTTCAAGTGATGGCTTTTGTTATCTATAAAATTAAGACTAAACCAGAGATCAAGGAATTTCAACTGGAAGCTATATCCTGTCTCCAGTCTCCCATCTTGGTGTAATTTAAGTGAGTTACAGGCCCCTTTAAATTCACTTATTTAAAACAGATACTCATCCAAAGAGGCACTCTATAAACATTTGGCACATCTTGATGAGCACGTCAATTGTCCTTCAAAGGCAGTGGAAACAACCTCAAAACCAATTACTTTTGCTCTCCTCTAAGAAGTCCATTAATTGGAACGAGGGCCTGCCTCTGGCTGAGTGTGTCCTCTCCACTCTTTTATGTCTCAAAATTGTCCCTTCTGGGGAACAGTAGTCCAGTTCCAGGCAATCTTTCTGAATTTAGAAAGCATTTAAATAGTACAGAGGTAAAGGATATTGATGGGGACTAGGAGTTAACAATGTAACAAAGGGGATGGGGTCTTAATAAGTCTGTCATCTCTTCTGGTGGAAACAAATAATTAAAAAATGAGAAGAAATCTACATGCTTTGATAGCCCCACATGCTGGATGAAATATTGGGAATAAAATCTCTAAAATAAAACAGACCTTTTAAGTGGGGGCTACATACTCTGTAAAAGATTAAAACAGATTAATGGATTAATCAGTGGCAGAATCATCTTAGTCAATACATTACGCACCAGTACTACAGGAGAGAGAATCAAGACACAGCATATTTTAAAGAGTCAATCATGCAATCTACTTAGACTGTAATTTTGATTTTAGATCTATCTATAGATATATACCTTTGTCTATAAATATATAATATATCTCCATAGCTTTT